GATGGATCAGACTGAAGTACTACATCTCTTGGAGTCACCTGAAGCTCTCAAGGCTAAAGTAGCAGAGGCTATGGATGTTCTCAGAAGTGTCGCTGCTGGCGGTTCAGCCGAGCAGCTTGCCTCCTTGAACCTGAACGACAATCTTGTTTCTTAAGTTATCTTGTCTTTCTGTTCGGTTTGAAAACACAATTTTCGAAGTGTGGCTTTGTCTCTTCCATACACAGTTGGAGACCTCTCAGAGTTTCGTGTTTCTTTCCTTTTCTGTAGGATTCTTTGACATGGTTTGTGCTTCCCCTCTTTGACTTAGTACGTTTTGTTTGAAACTTGATTTGATATCTTTAATTTTGGTTTGTTATTTACCAAATTTCAGGGCAAATGCAATCATAAGAATTAAAGAAGTTAGTTAAGACGTTAAACCTATGTGCAATTGAATCAAATTCTTAAGTTTTACAAGATTGTTAGATATGTGGATCTCATGATCATTTTAAAAAATATTGTCCGCATAACAAATGACATGGAAATGATAGGAGCTCATGCCACACAAGGTGATAAGCTACACTAACAAGGATTCAAGATAGAGAATATAAAATGTGTTGACAGTTTCAGCTTTTGTACACATCAAATGACTCCAAGTAAAATACTGATTTATGGAGCTTAAATCCGTTGGTCAACTAAAGTTCACAAATAATGGTCTAGAAGTAATTACCACAAATGAGAGATGAAGCTACTAAAGAGAAATTGGCAATTTGCTTGAAAGATTAGTGTCACAAGTGAGATAAGACAATGTTGTGGCCTAACAAATTAGGGCATATAAGTTAGAAAAGGCTGCCGTCAAAAAAAAAAAAAAAAGTTAGAAAAGGCGTAAATAATCTTGTGAAAAAATGAGACTAAGGTCCCATTCGTGACACAAAACTGTATAAGTTTTTTAGCGGATATAAATAAGAGCATCTCCATCGGCAGAAATTCTAAAAGTTTCTAAAAGAAAAAATATTATTATTTTAAAATTATAAATTTCTTTTATTTTTTATATTAATTGGACTAATGAGATTATGACATGTGGCAATGACATCATAGAAGAGTATCTCAAAGTTTCTGAAATGAGAAACGTATCTGCTTTATTTTCTTTCTCTCTTTTCCTTTTATTATTTTTTATTTATTAGTGTCTACTCAAGATATCTCCGATTGAAATGGTCTAAAAAACTGTAAACGATACTAAATAGTTAAAAGCGGGATAAAACAGCGGTAAAATGTAACGATAAAAAATGGTGAGAACAACGCTTTTGATATTGCTTTTAGTATCACTAGATCGAAACCCGCGCTACGCTGCGGGACTTTCCTAAAAAATTATTTTTGAAGAAATTGTTTGATAACAAGTGGTTTTTAGAAAACAACATGCATAAAGTGAATTTAACAAATAATTTAAGCTTCAAGTATTTTTCGTAAATAAAATTTCTTTTAATATAAGTATTTATGGTAGAAATTTAAAAGGCTTCACGGATTTTGTATTTTACTTTTGCTCGTATATTAGTTGTTTTTATTTCTAAGTTTATATATAAATACATTAGTAAATAAATTTTATATCTTACTTTTACGGAAGCAATTTACCTTATAATCAATTTTTTGTATTTGTTTGTTTTATTTTACTTTTTATTATATGTTTAATTTCTTACAAATGTTAGAGTTTTTATATTGTGATATACAAAAATATTTTTTCAGCGACTTTTATACTTCAAGAACCTTAGATTATTTTTGTTAAAATCATTTATGGTACACAAGCAATATTTAAATCCTACTGAAAGTATTTTAATATACCTTTTGTTTTAATAAATAATTTTTTTGATCATTAAATCAAAATAATTAATACACAAAGTTTTTTGTGTGTATTTTTGTTTGTTAGAAGCTAAACACTATGAACAAGATTTTAACTTTAACACAATTTGATTTTCGAATTAGATCAGATCAATATTATTATGGGTGGACATTTTAACAGAACGAACCCAAACCTAGCAAACTAAACACAAACCGATCCAAACCAAACCATAACTTACATTCAAACCATTCGATTATATTTTTTCTCAACCCGAACCGATAACTCAATCTATTTATTTATTTAATTAAATAATAATATTGTAAATTCTAATATGTAATGCTTTACTTATACTAACGTTGCACTTGATTTAGAGCGTTAGATATTTTTTTATTTTCTAATTAATAAAATATAAAATTAGATTGATTTTGTTTAAATATCTCTACCTTTAAGTTTTTTTAAGAGTACATAACTAAAACCAGACCGAACCGAGCAGAATATACATCGACCCGAACACAAGCCAAATCATTACGAGGGGTTTTGTAGTTCGTTTTGATCATTTTGTTAGAAAAAGTCTTTAAAAGATCATATTTTTTATGATATACATATAAATGTTTGTCTTCTTTTAAAGCTTAAAATTTTTGCCAAATCCGATAGTTAGTATTTGGATTGTCTCTTTCTAGCACTAATAAAATTATCTAACTGTCAATAAATATTATGAAAATAAAACTACTTTTGAATTCTGATTCAAAAGATTAATGACTTGAATTTTTCCTTTCTTTGAATGAAATGAGAGTTATATTATTTGTATTTGTTGTTGTATCTCATTATGTACACACAATCAACAACTGAACCTTTAGTCGCCTCATGTACATTCTATAATTTCACTCCAATTTTTTGTTATTCAAATTAAACTATATAAAGTCTAGAGGAACATGGCTGCATGTGTTTGATTATTTATTGTGCCAATTTTTTTTGAATTTCTAAGAAGCTCCAAGAGCTAATCAAACCCGTGAGCTATTTTTTAGATTTTTTTTCTTTTTTAGTAGAGTTGAAAACATCGAATAATGATTAAAAATATTAACTTTGAGTTTAAGTAAGCAAACTTTCTCCAACCCATTTGCCTATTAGGTCTCTTCTATATCATATCCTCAAATTTTTCTGAATCTTAGCCTTCACAAACCTTCTTTCACCATTCCTCATGATTCTCTCTTTTTTCCTCAATCGACCACTCATATTTTCTTATACACTTGGATCATGGAGTTTTTTTTATGTGATTCATCAATTGAGACTTCAAGCTAAAACTACCGGTGAAACAAAACATAGAAATTTATGCACTTTAAGACGAAAAGTAGATGTACTTTTGAAATATTGTTTTTTAATTTACTTTCAAATTTAAATATTTTTACGAGTTTTTTCTTCTTTGTAATTTTCTTTTGGTATATACCTCCATTCATGAGCTATCAATTTTCTTCTTTTTAAAAGAAACCATGTTTTGCATTTAGAAAAAAAAAATTATGTTAGCTTACATGTTTGAAAAAAACATATAATGGTGTGACTACCTACGAAATGATTAATAAGGACCTTACGTTAAATTGATTTTCTTAATAGAAATTTAGGCATTGAGCTGTTTTTATTTGAAATAATTATTAGGTTGTTTTTTTAAAGTTTAAACCAATTGAGCTTGGACTTGGACTTGAGTTTAATATAATAATTATTAAGTGATGTGAAATTAGAAAGAGTTATTATTGGTTGAGAAATATGAGTTGTATTAATCGAAATATTTTGATTGGTTGACGATTTTAATGAGGTGTCAGTCTTAGAATACTCTAAAATGCTGAGATATTAGCACTGGAGAGACTAGGCCTGGGCATAAAATCCGAAATCCGAAAACCGATCCGAAACCGATCCGAAAAATCCGGCTCCGAATCCGAACCGAATAGTCATAAAACCCGAACGGATAATGAATTCTCCTATCCGAATTATCCGAACCGAACCCGATCCGAACCGAAAACCGAAAGGATATCCGAAATCCGAAAATAAAATTATATATCCAAAAATATAAGTTATATTTAGCTATAATTTTATAACAAATAATAAAAATATCATAAATAACCTAGATATCGGAAAGTTTTTGGTTATATTTGTTAAAATTATGCATATTTTTGAAAAACTTAGCCAAATTTTAGTAAGATTAAAACTATTTTTTATTTAAATTGAACATTTTTATAGTTTTTTTTTCCTCGCAAACCGATCCAAAATTAATCCGAAACCGATCCGAATCCGACACTATCCGAACCGAACCCGATCCGAATAGTCATAAAATCCGAACAGATAATAAAATCTCCTACCCGAATTATCCGAATCCGAATAAATCCAAACCGAATCCGATCCGAAATCCGAATGCCCAGGCCTAGGAGAGACTTATGTTGTTTTTACTTGATTTTTTTATATTGCAGCTGGTGCACAAAAAAAAGAAAAAGATATTGCAGCTGGTGCACAAAAGTTCTCCGGTACAGGGTGGTTCTGTACATCGTCAAATGGAGAGCCGCCAACCATGGGAGCTGCGAACCTTCGTAGAAGTCTGTCCCTACTACATGCTGAAGTCGAGGCCCTTCTCTGGGCGATGAAGTGTATGATTGGTGCAGATAATCAAGAGGTAGCGTTCTTTACAGACTGTTCAGACCTGGTGAAGATGGTGTCTTCTCCAACCGAATGGCCGGCGTTTTCAGTATGCTTGGAGAAATTTCAGAGCGACAAGGAAGATTTTTCATTTTTTTCTTTATCTTTAATTTCTCGTAGGACTAATGTTAAAGCGGATAATCTGGCACGAAAAGTTCGTACAGAACCGTTTCATATCATCTATGTAAACAACATTCCTCATGAATGACTCTTTTAAGCTTTAATTAATTTTGGATGACAAAAAAAAAAAAAAAGCTTACCTGATTACAAATATATGAATAACAAAGAAAAAGAAAGTTACAAATTATTCTTACCGTGACAGTTGTCTTTAGTATTAAGTTATTACCGTAGCTAGAGCCTAGGACAACACCAAAGACCACCACTGAGACAAGTGACGTCCTGCAAAATCTAACACTTAAATAAATATGTCAGAGAAGATGATTCATTACACAATTTAGCACCAAACTTTTATTTTATTAATTTCTAAAGAAAAAAAAAATCATATCTTTTCAGGTTTTCATTACACAACAACAATAAAAAAAAAAAATTGATTTTTGGAAAAAAATTTGTCACATGAAATCTGTACGTCTCTGAATCTTCTCTTCTTCCCTCATCCATTGCTTATGTGCTTCTTCTTCTTCTTCTGATTACCAAATTTTCATTTCTCTTCTTCTTCGTCGTTTCTGAGAAAAAGTTTGCATTTTTTTTTTGTGAGAATCAAGAAAGAGACTAAAACCTAAGAATCGTGCAGAGGCGAGGACACCACAACACACCACACCCAGATATTGAAACTACATAAAGTTTATTAATTTGATTTCAATTTCAACTTTTTTTTTAGACCCATTTAGATTCTCTCTAGGGATTGATTTTGCAGGTACCATTTTTCTCAATCTTTGTAAAAAATTTCACCTTTTTTTGTTTGTTTTTCTAATTTTTCTCTAATCTGTGTTCATTGTTCAGATCGTTGTGATTTTGGTTCAGGATTTGTTGCATTGCAATAGCTGGACGGATCGGGATTGACCCACTTTAGGTTTTCATCTAAAGATTGGAAATTTTTTTAATTTGGCATCGGATTGTTTGGATTTGATTTCTTATGTAAGTAACTTGATTTGGTTGGTAACTTGGTATTGAATCAGAAAATGTGTTAGTCATGTGATTAGGTAATTAGTATCACAACTGTTTTGGTTTCATCAAGTTTGACAATATTTACTCTCTGTTGTGTTAAAATGAGTACTTTGTTTCTCTCTACTTTCATAGAAGTGGTATACTTTGTTAGTTAGCTTATATGTTAGTTGTTATGTCAACTAGTTTGACGAGTTTTTGGTACTTAGTTGCTCAATTTCTTATATTTATGTTTGAAACTTTTGATACATAGAAATGATGCTTTTGATATATGATAGTGAAAGTTTCTGATCTTGCCTTTTTTTTGTGGTATCAATTGGAAACATAATGCAGAAGATTTAGTTGGAGCATGAGTGTAGCCTGAAGCTAGATAGCTGGCTGGCATGTGGTGATCGTAATGGTAATTACGGTGCGCTTATTTCAGTTTTGTTACTTATTTTTTTCTTTTTTCAATTTCCCTCATTCATGGATTTCTTATTCATATTTCTTTTCTTGTCTCTTTCTGTTTGTGTGACTCTAGGTCTCGTCAAAGTCCTTGTAACTTTTGATCTGTTTTCTGGAAAGTCCTTGTGTTCTAGTCAAAGGTATGAATCCAATGCAAGGGCCACGAGCTACTGGTGGTTCATCTGCTGACGTGAATCAGGCAGATGGTGAATCGATTTATTGCACAGAAACCGCTATGAATAACATGTTGAATCCAGCAGACACTGTATTTCCAAACAATAGTACACCTTCAGGACGACCAACTTATGCAAGTTCGAGTTCTCATGCTGCTCAAGATCATAACTGGTGGAGGTTTGGGGAATCCAGCTCCATATCAGGTCCTTCTGATCAGGTCAATTCCATTGGAATGAAGACAAGTCACCAGCTGCCTCAAGATGGTGCTCATCACTTTGTTGGCTATGGATCTGAGGGAAGGGAATTAGGTCTGAATGGTATGATGGTAGATGGAGGGGTTCATGCTGGCAGTCACATCAGGAATGGGCCTTCTTTCTTGCGCGGTTCAAGCTCTAATCCTATGCAACAGCATGTAGATATGAGCATGGACATGGACAGCGATAATTGTAGTGCACAGACTTCCGGGGTAGTTATCCGTCATAATAGCTATGGGAGTTCATTAGGAAGCTCAATTCAGGCCGCAGGGGAGAGCAGCAGTGGTCCTGCTTCTCCGTTTGGTGGTTGGGGTTCGTCCTGCAAAAGAAAGGCTCTTGAAGGATCCCCTGGTCATTATTTTTCTGGTGAAACTCCTAACCGCATTGTTCAGACTGAAAATAGTGCTTCGCATGCAAGTCTTTCTCAGTATGGTGCTTCAAGTAGCTTAAGTTTGGCTACACCCTCACAAAGTTCTCCAAATGTTACTAATCATTTTGGCCGGACAGAACAAATGTTTGGATCTGGTGGTGGAAGAGCAGTTGCAGCCAGTGCTTTTCATTCTGCAAGAAACACTGACACCTTATCTAGAGCTGGCAGACGATTAAATCCCAGGCAGCCTCAGGAGTCTGTAGCATTCAGCGTATCACACGCTGGAACTTCTGTGCGTCCCACTGATTCTTTGCAACAGAATTTACCATTGAACTCTCCCTTTGTAGATCCTCTAGATGTGAGATCAACTAGTGGCTCAAGCACTGGTGAGAATCAGACAAATATAGTCCACCTCCCTGCTTTGACCAGGAATATACACCAATTTGCTTGGGATGCTTCTTTCAGTTCCAGAGCCAGTAATTCTTCGGGTATTGGGATGCCTGCAGAGCGATTAGGGCCACAGTGGGAAACACCGAGAAGCAACCCAGAGCAGCCCATGTTTGCACCCGCAACTGACATGAGACAGCCGGTGCATGATCTTTGGAATTTCACACATGGAAACCCTGGTTCATCTATAGATTCTCCCTTTGTTCCTCGAGCAGGGCCAAGTTCAGCTATTCATGCGCCACAGCCTAATCCCACATGGATTCCTCCTCAGAGTGCCCCAATACATAATCCATCGAGAACATCAGAACTTTCTCCTTGGTCTTTATTTCCTAATATTGAATCTCAATCTGCTAGTCACGGTGCCTCTCTTCCATTATTACCCGCAGGCCCCTCTGTTTCCTCAAATGAGGTGGCAATGCCATCTGGTTCTAATAGTCGGAGCCATCGCTCACGGCAAAGAAGATCAGGGTTGTTATTGGAGAGACAAAATGAACTTCTCCACTTGCGTCACATAGGGAGGAGCTTAGCTGCTGACGGTAATGGAAGGAATCAAATCATCTCCGAGGTATGGGTTCCATACATACTTGCTCTTGTATGATAATTTGGGTTGATGCTATATATGAATCTTTATAGCATCTTTCACTATCTTTTACTATCGAATGGTTTGATAGGAGAATCCTTCCCACATAAGCATCTCATGTTATGAATAAGTGGGGGTTAAGAGCGTGCATTTATGGGTTGTTTTCATGGTTTTTAGTTTGTTATGTTCGTCTGATTGAAACTCAGGGTTTTTAGTTAAGTTTGTCTTCCTTTTGTTATGAGGTTTTCTTGTAATTTTCTCTGTAAAATCTTGATATGCTTGAGTATGGTACCTGCGGGTTGTGAAATTATCTGGTTTTGTACTTTTTGTGGTCTAGCTTCATATAGATAGAGTTAAAAAAATTGATTCATGCATGGTCGGTAACTATTCTCTTTTGAAGTAAGGCTATGTAGGACAGTGTATTGATCAAAATTTGAAGACTTGCATATATGCCATAATTTGGTTGAAACCTGATTTTTGTGGATGCCAGTGACAACGCCATATCACTTTTTGTTAAATAAAAATCTTAAAGGCTCTGCTATAAAGCTTTTTTTGCCAATTATTTCTAGTATATGTCTCTTCTGAAAGGTATAACTTTATCCATATGAGAACTAGAGTAGTTTGATGCACTCTGATATGACTTCGATCTGCAAACCATATTGATGTCTTACGTTTTGGGATTGCTCTTTTTCTAAATCTAGTTTATAAACCTCCTTAGCAACTGCTACATGTATTTAGTTTTGATGCAGTTCGATAAGTATTTTAATAGTGAGTTGCACTGATTCCTCTATTTGTTGTTAGCAGATACGTCAGGTGTTGCATGCCATGAGAAGAGGAGAAAATTTACGGGTTGAGGTATAATTTTGACACGAGTGATTTTCGACAATCCTGCCTGTTAATATCATTTAATGGATAGAACACATTCCATTTCTTGGTGAATCTGTTGTCCTGATGTGTGATCTTCCTTTTTTCCAATTTGATAAGGATTACATGGTGTTCGATCCACTTATCTACCAGGGTATGACTGACATGAATGATAGGCATCGGGAAATGCGGCTTGATGTTGACAACATGTCGTATGAGGTAGTATTCCTTTTTTTGACAGTTAAATCGCAATCTTCCCATTTTCCAACAATGTGTGGGAATGAATGTAGGAGCTATTGGCACTTGGGGAACGCATAGGTGATGTGAGCACTGGCCTAAGTGAAGAGGTCATTTTGAAAGCATTGAAACAGCACAAACATACAATTTCTTCTGCTTCTTCTGCTGAGTTGCATCAGAACATAGAGCCATGCTGCATTTGTCAGGTATTTGATTAAGTATGAACTAGAAGGGTTTTGCTCGTGTAATACTTACCGACTAACTGATAAGCATAAGATAAAGAAATTGGCGTTGCTGAGCTTGCTTCCATTATTTCTCGTTACATATGGAATGAAATAGGATACTATATAAATAAGATAGGTTGGACTAGAGTTTTGGGTGTTTGGTTTGTTTGGGAAACTTTTGGGCTTTTAGAGAGTTTGGGGACTTTATAACAAAATCCTATCACTTGGTTCTCGTTATCAAATCTGCATTTCTGTACTTTGTTCTTACTACTACTCCCTGAGCCGGTTTGTTTCATCTAACAATAGTCCTCCGCAATAAGTTTTGTGAATTGATTCTGTTTGTTTTCGTTTAGTCTCACTTCCTTGATCAAGCCTAAAAGTGGTATGCTTTGATATGTAATCATCATAGAGGATGATGATGTGCCATAATGAAACTAACAGATTTATTAGCTGAACTGATATTGTAAGCTTTGATATGTAATCTTTGATCAGCAATGAAAATGTTGATTTTGGGGTAACATTGGTTGATTGAATGAGTCTCTTCTGTGTCTCTTTTTAAGCTGACATAGCACTCAGCCTCAACACATGAACTGATGTTTAAAAGCCTGTTGCTGCTGTTTTGACAGGAAGAGTATGTAGAAGGTGATAATCTTGGAACCTTGAAATGTGGACATGAATTCCACAAGGACTGTATCAAGCAATGGGTCATGATCAAGAATCTCTGCCCCATTTGTAAGACCGAGGCATTAAAGACGCCATAGTACGTATGCTTGCCTCCATCTTCATTGTGCATGTTGGCTCCATTCATCATCATCGCGACACCAAAAGAAAATAAAAATAGTGATCTTAAAGTTCTGTTATATCCTTATATCTCATATGAGAATTAATTGTTATGCTTAACTCATTGTGTCACACTGTTCAAAGAACATTATGACAATTTCATAAAAATTCCATGGAGAAGAGAATAATTCCCATTTTTACTAGAATCCTTTGTAACAGTTGATAGCTGATGGTTGAGGGATAACACTAAAAGGCCTTCCAATTTTGCCGAAGACTATTTGATGCTGTCACAACATTTAAACAAATTTCGCAATGGGGCCGTAGATAGTCCGAGTGAAATCTAATCTACGAAATGTCTAACATAACATCCTTATTAGCTGCATTTCGCAAAGAACAAGTGTCACACCGGTTCTTTGACAATCTTCTCTGACCCGGCGGGGGCATTGAAATCCCTATATGGCGAGAATATAACCATTGCGGCACTGCTTATCATAGGATGCAATTGAGTAGCCATTCTTATGTTACTAGCCACATCTTCAGGACGTACATTGCTAAGAACAGGGCAGTGACCACATGACCAACTGTAGAACAATGTCTATGTGTTTCAATCATGTTCAAATATGTGGATGAAGGGTAGTTACCATATTCGCAACAAAGCACCTATAAGTACTAAACAATATAGGTATTAGTTTGGTAATGGTTGGGGCAACAAACTTGAATTTGGCAAGAATCCATGAGGATGTGGTGCAGTCATGTGTTGGATGAAGAAGTCCAATGGATTACAATCAAGTTTTCTAAGAGTTACACTTGTATACAAAATCAACTTCAATGTCAATGCGACAACCGTTTTTTTTTCACTAAGAGTGACAACGCTGCGCACACCGTTGCATAGTGGCGATATATGTACCAACATTCTGGTACTAGTATCTCTTCGTCTGTTCTTCGATTTGGCCAGAAACTGTGGAATATAAAGATGCTAAAGAAAAATATTTGAATCTTGATCCATAGAAACTAAACGGTCATGGTTTGGCTGCTCAATAGTATTAAATGGGCTTATGAAGGAAGAGAGGGAGAGGCCTTTTCCTAAAAACGGTCCCGTTTAAGTTGTTAAGTAATGTTGAAAGTCCCACATCGCTTACATAAAGAAAAGAAGTTGTGTTTATATATTATCAGAGTGAGGAACATGATTGTCCCTTCGGGGTCATCCGATAAAATTGGAACGATACAGAGAAGATTAGCATGGCCCCTGCGCAAGGATGACACGCGTAAATCGAGAAATGGTCCAAATTTTTTTTTTTCCAAAATTTTCCAAAGCAATTTCTTCTTTCTTTCTTCTGGATTTTTTCTTTTTCAGTTTTTGTTTTATGAATCAGAACTGAAGTTTTGGATTCCTAAACTTCTAGGGTTTCATTAATTTAACTGAAACTGCAATGAATTTGGATAGCTACGAAGACAATCCGATTGGTTAGTTGTTGTAGTTCTGAGGGTCATGAGAAATTTCCTATCATATAATCATCCAAGAAGTGACAAAAAAATTAAACAAAATTTAACAAATTTTTTTATAATTTATCAGATACCATATTTAATTCAAAATTTGATGATATCGAGTTTAGCGTTTCTATGTCAAATCTATGTAAAAAACTATATGATAACTTTTACCCCTTCACAAAAAAAAAGAAGGGCTAAAAGTATAACAAAAGAATTTATAGTGTATTAATAAGTGATAAAACATAAAATAGAAAGTTCACGGTCTCTAACCGCTACGTCTCTGGGAGAACTCTTGCTCCCAGAGTTCACTATATACAAGAGGTTACTCACACCACTAACTTATAATGTTCTTGGTTTTTCAGGTTAACACTCAAGAAGAACAAGATTCAAAGATGCAACAAAAATTAAAGGAAGAAGAAAGCTTTTGGAAACCCTCGTTTTTCATTTTTCTAGAACTCTCTTTTTGCTCATCTTTTCTCATCTACGACCACTTTCTCTTATACCATGTAAGTAAGCGCATTTTGGCGAAAGCCATTTTGTTTTCCTCTTCATCATTTTCGTTATGTGTGTGTTTGTCACAGAAGAGGAAGTTGATTAACTACTAACTCTACTAAATAATATAAATTGTTGATCCAACAAGGAAGTTGATTAACTACTAACTTTACTACATAATACAAATTGTTGACCCAACAATATGGATTTATAACTGTTATATATAGAGATATATATTATAAATTAGATATGTATTTTAATGAATTTTTACTGTTTTATTTATATTGAACATAATTTTTAATAAAAAAGGAGAAAAAGACTGAGTCTCATGTTTCACATATCAAATGAGCAAAAATGTGGAATTTATGTAAAATTAGAATCCCCTTCAATCGGAGTTAAAAGAGGTGGATAGCTTAAATTAGACTTTTTGAATGTGAAATCATCTAACTTCAATTATATATATATGTGTGTGTTTGAATGTCAAGCACACTTTGTTCCTTCTTTTTAATAATTTGTAAAACAACGTCAATTCATTTCTATTATTTAGGATATGAAGAAAGTTTTACGATCTTCGTTCACCATTCCAACTATCTTCATCATTTGTCTATTAGGTTTGTGTTTACAATAAAAATTTATTTTAATATATTAGACTAACAAAGAAATTGATTATATATCTTGATATATCTTATAAAACATTTGGTCTATGTTACGTAATATATGTCACAATCATAGTTTAATACAATATTTGATGATATCGAGTTTAGCCTTTCTATGTCAAATCTATAACATACTTAGAAGAATTGGTTCAATTGTTTCTTGTTAGACTTAAGAAACTAATAATCCCCAAAAGGTTTTTTTTTTTTACTTATGTATTTCTTTAAATGTTTGGTTCATTCTTACATTTATAAAAAGTGTATCATCATCATATATTATGATATGAATTGATCTACAATATTGTTTTTATTGCCTTTTACTTTTTTTTTTTCTAATTATCATTTTTTCCCTTTGAACTGTATAGATAAATGTATCAGATTGTATTTTATGTTTTATACATATATGTGCTATAGTTTTGAAGTGTAAAAGATAATCAGTAAATTCCTCAAACATATACTTTTACAAGATGAGTATTTTTCATTTTCAATATAGAAACTCATATCCTATTTTTTAAATATAACAGTATTTGGCGCGATGGTGAATGGACAATGTACACTGTCTCTACCAGTAGGACCGAATGGGATATGTGTTCCCAAAGATTGTAAGTCTCTGTGTCACCAGAAGTATAAAGGAGGTGGTAGGTGTACTCCAGAGAAAAAAGATGAGTGCTTGTGCTTTATTTGCAAGAGGCCATGACCAGAGCCGTGCTCAGGGTTATGGAGACCAGAGGCGGTGTTAAAAAAAAAATCAACTCATATAAAATAAAACATAGATAATTTTTAATATAATGGAATTGCTCTCTTTTTTACATATCAAATGAGCAAACATGTGGAAATTTGTCTAAAATTACATCCCCTTCAATCGGAACTAAAAGAGGTGGATGGCTTAAATTAGACTTTTGGAAAGTGAGATCATTTAACTTCAACTATTTATATATATAAAGCACACTTTGTTCCATTTTTTAAAATTTGTAAAACACTATCAATTCATTTCCATCATTTAAGATATGAGGAATTCTTTTCAACTCTCGTTCACCGTGCTAACTATCTTCATCGTTTGTGTATTAGGTTTGTGTTTACATTAAAAATTGTTTTAATATAATAGATTGACAATTTCTAAAAGAAAATGATATATATATATATATATATATATATATATATATATATATATATATATATATAATTTGTTTTAATATATTAGATTGGCCATTTTATAAAGAAATTGATTATATATATCATAATATATCTTATAAAAACATTTTGTCTATGTTATGTAATATATATATGTCACCATTTGATGACATCGAGTTTAGTTTTTCTATGTCAAATTTTCACCATATTTAGAAAAACATTATTCAACTATTTTGTGTTATACTAAAGAAACTATTTATTAGTAAGAGCAAAACATATAAATTTTTACAAGATGAAAAAATATAATTACTATTCCATTTTTTAACATACAATTTATATGTTGTCTTTTAAATATAACAGTATCTGAAGCATGGAAGGGTCAGCTGCCTAACGGACAATGTTCATTGTCTCTACCAGTAGGACCGAATGGGAAATGTGTTTCCAAAGATTGTGATTCTTCGTGTCAACATAAGTTCAAGGACACGATTTTAATGTGTGCATTTGCTTTGTTTGCAGATACCCACGCTCTTAATGTTTTTACATAATAAAAGTAAAATCATATTTATAATAGAAGTTTTATAGTAAAATAACAAAATATAGAGTGAAATGGTTTGTACTATTGCTCGTATTGTATTAGCAATCCTTTTTTTTTTTTTTTTGTCATCTTATTGTATTACCAATCCATGTTTATAAGTTTACATGATGCATATATTATTGATAAATAATAAATAATTATCGTAGTTGAATATTTTTCCAAGGTTTGTGGTATAAGAGTTTGTACTAATGTCGTTGTTATCGAATTATGACATGATAAATATATACAATCAAACAAATATATATATATATATATATATATATTTTATATAACAAAGTTTGATCCTATATAACAAAGGATGTGGTCGTCTTAATCTCTGAATGTTTTTCAATCTACTATTTATATGATATGGAGAGAACGAAACCGAAGATGTCATGGGGAGCAGCCATTATCCGTAGAAAATCTTCTCAAACAAATCGACAGCACGGTTCGTAATATCGACAGTATCAAATTAGGGTAATGGAGGTTTAGAAGAAGCCCTGCGAGACTGGTTCGCTGTGAGGTGTCTCTAGGTTCTTCAAAGCTCAGTCCAACCAAAGCTCTTGCCATCTTCTTTGAGATATTCAAAAACTCTGTTTTCATTTTCAAACCTTTAAAACTATAGATGCATTCATTGTAAAAAGGGTTTTTTGATGATAATGACAAACCAAACACAAAGACATAAGCTTTGTGGAAAACTCAATGAGTTTATTACTTAAATGTATTCGTGAATTAGAAGTACAAGGGAAGGGACTGAGCTTACATAGAGCTCATAAAAACGTTCTAAATGTTTAAACAAAGAAAGAAATGCCGTTGGAATGAGATTTGTGGTGTACCAGCCAAATATTACAATAATACTGGCTTATTCCCAACTAGAGAACAACACATAGTAAAAGGCTCACGAAACGTTCCGTCTGACTCATTACCGCATGCTAAATTCTTTCTTTCCAATTTCTCGAAAGTAACAGAAGTGAAATGCTTGCAATGCAGAATCAAAGCTTCCGTGTAAACATTTTGTCCTAAGGAAAGAGTAGAGAGCATATACATTAATACTGAGAGCTTTTCAGGCAAGGAGCTTACATTGCTTGTCCCCAGTGAGTGATAGAGAACGCATAGAAACGGCTCACAAACGCACCGTCTGAAGTCTGATCTTATATGACTCTGAGTTAGGCTCCCCTAAACCGGGCTGATGAGTTTCCTCCCTGTAGCTGGATCTTCATATATGGCAACAACATCCCTGAACTTGTCAAAGAGCTGCTCCAAGTGATTCACGCCCATCTTTCTGTAGGGTAATGGCCTTTTGTACCTTAGCTTGTATATCGCCTCGAAACAATCCATCTGTACCTGACAACAATAGCTCACCAAAATGTCTTGTAACTCGAATTTGAACTCTTCGAGGTTCCTCTTGCTCTGAACTGAGCCCGTGTCTGAGAATTCATCAGAGGAGATTCCTCCATTGGTAGTTTCCCCGTTAGGCTCTTTTCCTTTCTTCTCTCTTCTCAGTAGAACCACAGGGGGAGAAGGAGAGATGATGTTCGGTTTCGAGTTGCGCAGGTAAACAATTCTCTTGTTGCCTTTACCATCCACTGCAATCACATCACTCATCTTTTTGAACAGATCCATAAGCTTGTGCACCCCATAGTCCGATACAAAAAGCGGTTTACTGAAATTCCTTTGGTATTCAGAAGGAATACGCATGAGAGGAATACACCCACCTGAGAGCTCTAGCAGCTTCACGAGCTGTCCCTTCAAACCGTTTAAATCTCCCGGCGCTACCCACATGGTGGACTCAAGGTGACCAGGAGGAGGATATGCCAAAGACTCGCCTGAATTAGATGGCCAACAAGACATTGCGCTGCTACTATACTCGTGATGAAACTTCGAAACCATCAAGGACGACTCTCTTGGGTTACTATAACAGTTACCTCTATAGAGAATTGTTTCATCTTCATTCATACCATCCATGTTACTATTATCACTGATATTACACCCCATAAGATATGGCACAACACGAGGTTTACGTAGCGGCACAAAGCCTTCACCGTGAACAATACTATGCCAGTCCCAAACAAACCTACCAGCATTAGACAAAGCTGAATTCACATACACACTAGAAGGTATAACAAGAATCACAGTGTACCCACGCTGACCCAATATATGAAGCGCAGGCGCGAAATCAACATCTCCCGAAACGAGAATAATAGTCGCAGGCGGCTTATTATCAAGTACAAACAAGAACATATCAATCAAAATCGCTTTATCAGATGCATCTTTCCTACCATTTGGTACATCAATAAGCCTCACACCGGTTCTTTGACAACCTTCTCGAACACGACGAGGGAAAGCATTGAAATCTCCGTAAGCCGAGAAGTTAACAACCGGACCGGATATCACCGGATGTAACTGAATCGCCATTCTTATGTTACTAGCCACATCTTCAGGACGGACATCGCTAGGAACAGGGCAATTCTCCATATCCCAGAGAATAGCCATAGGACCATCTGTAGAAGAATGTCTCTGTGTTGCAATCATGTTCAAATCTGCTAAATATTTGATTCTTCTTTGTTCATCAGAATCAATAGAGACTAAAGCTGTTGCTGATGGATTATAATAACTTGACATAGCTTTGTGTATCATCAAAGGCTCCTGGAAATGGATTTAAACAAACAGATTTACAGATAGAAGAAAAATCTATTTCGAGAGATTGCGAAGAAGGACGAAGCAGAGTCTATATTGATTTCGTCATTTTAAAACCAAAATACCTGATTTAGGGTAGAGGGAGGGATCTTGAAGATTGAATACACACACGTAGACGATACGAAGATGGAATTTCGCGAATTCTTCAGATTAGTAGTTGATTCTTCTCGATCTTCTTCTTCGGCGGATTTTGGGATTTTTAGGGTTCTTCAAAAGTTTTTGCGTTTGTCCAGAGAAAGCATATGACAGAGTCGGTAATGCTATCGGGTTATGAATAAATGGGTTATTTATATGAATGCCCATTATGAACCCATTAAAAAATTCTTAGATTATTTTGTTTCTAACATAAAATCTAATAATGTATTTTTTATATATATTTTGTATAAAAAGGATTATATTTAGGTATGGGCATATGGGTAATCCGTTCGGGTTCGGGTAAAACTCGTTCGGGTTCGGGTTGAATGGGTAATGAATTTATGGTCCATTCGGCTATTCCTATGGTTTCGGTTCCAGTCCGGTTCAGGTATTATCGGGTTCGGGTCGGTTTGGGTAATACCCGAAGTTTAAAATCACGTTACATACTCAAATGATCAAATAAAGAGAATAGAACATTGACATTTAAATACTAAATCCAATCCAAAATAACAAAGATGACTATTTCACTCTTAAGTGTTAAGAGTAGATTCTAATTATCTATATACATATATAAACATATGTGTATTGCATATATATAAGTATATAACTATATAAGACTATATATCTAATTATCTATATACATATATAAACTCAAACGTCAAAAGTCACAAAACCTAAAACGTAGGACATACATATAAGTATATAACTATATAAAACTATATATCTAATTATCTATATATATATATATATATATATATATATAAACATATGTATTTCTTCGGGTTTGTGGGTACCCTAAATGGGTAACGGGTAATCCCCGACTCGACCCGATACCCACGGGTAATCCAATACTCTACCCAATGAGGTAATTTTCTAATACCCTAATCCGCCCCAACCCAATTTTTTCGGTCTGGGTATCGGGTCCGGGTTTTTTTGCCCAGACCTAATTATATCAATAAAAATAGAGAAACACTTCCCAAACCACTTTGTTCGTAACATTATCTTTTCTTTTTTGGAGAAATGTTTTTTTTTTGGACAAATGTTTATCTTTGTAAGTTTATGATGCAAAAAGAAAAAACTGCTCATCTCAATCTCTTGGATTATTATATATCTCATCTTCATATGTGATTATTTAGCATCTCATTCATTGATTTATTTTACTGTTTTAGTAATGATTCATTCATTGATTTATTATTTACTTTATTTTGGTCTATACGGTCGTGGTCTAGTTGTTGTTAAGAATTGGAGAAATGTTGAAATGTACTAATCCATGTTCGATCTACCCTAAAAAGAAAAATCACATCTGTGTGTGAAGTCTGGTTTGGACCAAATGGCTCAAACAATTTACATGATAGTCCAATAACAAACAATTTGATTACCTCCATGTATTAGTCGGAAATCATTCTAAACTCAGGACATACAATATGGTGATCCTTCGAGGAGAAGTCCACTTTAAAACACTTCTGTACATTACTACAGGAGCTAACC